TGACGGGAAAATTGCTGCAATAACACTTTAAGGAGGGCCGCGCCATTCGTTTCCAGCCCGTAAATCCGAAGCAGGTGTCGATGTTTTGGATCCCCGTCACTTAGGAGAGCGCCGCGCTTCTGTGCTTTAATAAGCCGCTCGCTTTCTAGGACAGATGGGACTTTTTGTATCTTCAGACGTATTAAAGTTTAAATCCATCTCTCCGACAAATCGGAGCCTGTGAAGGCGAGGCAGTAAATCGGCCGCCCCCACAGAGAGGATTTATTAAAGGAGAACTATGAGGTGAGTGAAAATCACTCCACCTCATCGTACGAGCCGACGTGTGACAATGGGACTGTCACAGGTCGGCTCAATAGATCGGGAAGTGAGCAAACACATACCGGAGCTCGCTCACTTCTCGATCCTGTCCCTGCAGAGAGCCGTGACTGTCACTCACGGCTCCCTGTAGGGATTCCCCCGCTCCGATCCTCCAGCGCTGACTGGCAGAACGGAAGGGGGAGGGGGGCGAGTACAGCTGGCCCTGCCTCTAGATAGGCAGAGCTGGCTGTCACTCGCGTAGCTGGGTGGATCCAGACAGTAATGTAGCTGTAGCTCGCGGTATACTGAGCTTTGGGTGACGGGAGGACGCTAGTTTTTTTTCCCGTGACCCTTAGGAGAACTATGGGGAAAAACACTGACCCCACAGGTCTCCTTTAACCATCTTGTGTCATTATGTCTGTGCAGGTTCTTAAAGAGGAACGGTGCTTAGTAGATGTGCATGGAAACAGTTCTACCTAATGTGCAATTCTGTTCTGCAGGTATTATGGTTTACACACCACTCTTACATGGCATAGCCAGCAGGGTGACTCCACTGTTCCCTATTGCTGATTCCTGTGTCATCTGTGTGCTGATTAGATGGTGAATGAGCATCATCACTGCTGCTGCCCTGTTCATCATCCCACCAAGACAGCTGTGGTTTACATTATATGACCTCAGGCATCTTGTCTAATGCAGGGTTAGGCAACTGTGGTTAAACTACAAATCCCACAATACCTCTGCCTCTGGGAGTCATGCTTGTGGCCGTCAGAGTCACAAGTGTATTTCTTTTCGGCAAATATTATGATTTTTTACAGTAAGACGTAGCCAGCAGGGTGACTCCACTGTTGCCGCTTCCTGCATCTTCTGTCTGCTGATTAGATAGTGTCATCCCGCTGCTGCCCTGTTTTTCAGACTACCAGAACACCTCCACCTCTAGTTACCAGTGCCTGAAATATGTTTGCATGACAGCACTGGTCATAGCAATAGAGGCCTTAGTGGTTTACAGTATATGACCTCAGGCACTTCATCTAATGCAAGAGTAGGCAACCTTGGCACCCAAGCTGTGGTTAAACTACAAATCCTGTCATGCCACTGGCTATTAAAATCACAGGTGTAACTTTGTTCTGCAAGTTTGATTTGCATACATTAGAAGTCAATGGAAAAAAAATGACTTACAGTGATGATCAATAGGAAGAATGCCTCTTACATTGGTGGTCAGTGGGAAGAATGCCCCTTACATGGGGGGTCAGTGGGAAGAATGTTCCTTACATTGGAGGTCAGTGGGAAGAATGTTCCTTACATTGGAGGTCAGTGGGAAGAATGTTCCTTACATTGGAGGTCAGTGGGAAGAATGTTCCTTACATTGGAGGTCAGTGGGAAGAATGTTCCTTACATTGGAGGTCAGTGGGAAGAATGTTCCTTACATTGGAGGTCAGTGGGAAGAATGTTCCTTACATTGGAGGTCAGTGGGAAGAATGTTCCTTACATTGGAGGTCAGTGGGAAGAATGTTCCTTACATTGGAGGTCAGTGGGAAGAATGTTCCTTACATTGGAGGTCAGTGGGAAGAATGTTCCTTACATTGGAGGTCAGTGGGAAGAATGTTCCTTACATTGGAGGTCAGTGGGAAGAATGTTCCTTACATTGGAGGTCAGTGGGAAGAATGTTCCTTACATTGGAGGTCAGTGGGAAGAATGTTCCTTACATTGGAGGTCAGTGGGAAGAATGTTCCTTACATTGGAGGTCAGTGGGAAGAATGTTCCTTACATTGGAGGTCAGTGGGAAGAATGTTCCTTACATTGGAGGTCAGTGGGAAGAATGTTCCTTACATTGGAGGTCAGTGGGAAGAATGTTCCTTACATTGGAGGTCAGTGGGAAGAATGTTCCTTACATTGGAGGTCAGTGGGAAGAATGTTCCTTACATTGGAGGTCAGTGGGAAGAATGTTCCTTACATTGGAGGTCAGTGGGAAGAATGTTCCTTACATTGGAGGTCAGTGGGAAGAATGTTCCTTACATTGGAGGTCAGTGGGAAGAATGTTCCTTACATTGGAGGTCAGTGGGAAGAATGTTCCTTACATTGGAGGTCAGTGGGAAGAATGTTCCTTACATTGGAGGTCAGTGGGAAGAATGTTCCTTACATTGGAGGTCAGTGGGAAGAATGTTCCTTACATTGGAGGTCAGTGGGAAGAATGTTCCTTACATTGGAGGTCAGTGGGAAGAATGTTCCTTACATTGGAGGTCAGTGGGAAGAATGTTCCTTACATTGGAGGTCAGTGGGAAGAATGTTCCTTACATTGGAGGTCAGTGGGAAGAATGTTCCTTACATTGGAGGTCAGTGGGAAGAATGTTCCTTACATTGGAGGTCAGTGGGAAGAATGTTCCTTACATTGGAGGTCAGTGGGAAGAATGTTCCTTACATTGGAGGTCAGTGGGAAGAATGTTCCTTACATTGGAGGTCAGTGGGAAGAATGTTCCTTACATTGGAGGTCAGTGGGAAGAATGTTCCTTACATTGGAGGTCAGTGGGAAGAATGTTCCTTACATTGGAGGTCAGTGGGAAGAATGTTCCTTACATTGGAGGTCAGTGGGAAGAATGTTCCTTACATTGGAGGTCAGTGGGAAGAATGTTCCTTACATTGGAGGTCAGTGGGAAGAATGTTCCTTACATTGGAGGTCAGTGGGAAGAATGTTCCTTACATTGGAGGTCAGTGGGAAGAATGCTCCTTACATTGCGGGTCAGTGGGAAATATGCCCCTTACATTGGTGGTCAGTGGGAAGAATGCCCCTTAGCTGGGGGTCAGTGGGAAGAATGCCCCTTACATTGGGGGTCAGTGGGAAGAATGCTCCTTACATTGGGGGGCAGTGGGAAGAATGCTCCTTACATTGGGGGGCAGTGGGAAGAATGCTCCTTACATTGGGGGGCAGTGGGAAGAATGCTCCTTACATTGGGGGGCAGTGGGAAGAATGCTCCTTACATTGGGGGGCAGTGGGAAGAATGCTCCTTACATTGGGGGGCAGTGGGAAGAATGCTCCTTACATTGGGGGGCAGTGGGAAGAATGCTCCTTACATTGGGGGGCAGTGGGAAGAATGCTCCTTACATTGGGGGGCAGTGGGAAGAATGCTCCTTACATTGGGGGGCAGTGGGAAGAATGCTCCTTACATTGGGGGGCAGTGGGAAGAATGCTCCTTACATTGGGGGGCAGTGGGAAGAATGCTCCTTACATTGGGGGGCAGTGGGAAGAATGCTCCTTACATTGGGGGGCAGTGGGAAGAATGCTCCTTACATTGGGGGGCAGTGGGAAGAATGCTCCTTACATTGGGGGGCAGTGGGAAGAATGCTCCTTACATTGGGGGGCAGTGGGAAGAATGCTCCTTACATTGGGGGGCAGTGGGAAGAATGCTCCTTACATTGGGGGGCAGTGGGAAGAATGCTCCTTACATTGGGGGGCAGTGGGAAGAATGCTCCTTACATTGGGGGGCAGTGGGAAGAATGCTCCTTACATTGGGGGGCAGTGGGAAGAATGCTCCTTACATTGGGGGGCAGTGGGAAGAATGCTCCTTACATTGGGGGGCAGTGGGAAGAATGCTCCTTACATTGGGGGGCAGTGGGAAGAATGCTCCTTACATTGGGGGGCAGTGGGAAGAATGCTCCTTACATTGGGGGGCAGTGGGAAGAATGCTCCTTACATTGGGGGGCAGTGGGAAGAATGCTCCTTACATTGGGGGGCAGTGGGAAGAATGCTCCTTACATTGGGGGGCAGTGGGAAGAATGCTCCTTACATTGGGGGGCAGTGGGAAGAATGCTCCTTACATTGGGGGGCAGTGGGAAGAATGCTCCTTACATTGGGGGGCAGTGGGAAGAATGCTCCTTACATTGGGGGGCAGTGGGAAGAATGCTCCTTACATTGGGGGGCAGTGGGAAGAATGCTCCTTACATTGGGGGGCAGTGGGAAGAATGCTCCTTACATTGGGGGGCAGTGGGAAGAATGCCCCTTACATTGGTGGTCATTGGGAAGAATGCTCCTTTACATTGGGGGTCAGTGAGAAGAATGCCCCTTACATTGGTGGTCATTGGGAAGAATGTCCCTTACATTGGGGGTCAGTGGGAAAAATGCCCCTTACATTGGTGGTCAGTGGGAAGAATGCCCCTTACATTGGTGGTCAGTGGGAAGAATGCCCCTTACATTGTTGGTCAGTGGGAAGAATGCTCCTTACATTGGTGGTCAGTGGGAAGAATGCTCCTTACATTGGTGGTCAGTGGGAAGAATGCCTTTTGGCCACTCCTACAGATCTCTAATGAATGGTGTCATGCCGCTGGCTTTGCCAATTGCTGTTGGTCCTGTAACTATGACCATTAAATGGGAGGTCATTTAGCCACAACTCAAGCAACCTCCAGGGAAACCCTAGAGATCCACGGAACCCTGGCTGAGAATTATTGCTATAGTAGTGCAAAAACCCCTAATAGCCAATCAGAAGCATCATGCAGAGAAGTGTGCAATACCTTCTAGCAGCCAATCAGAAATCTTCTGTTGTCTCCCTCTCTAAGCTGGGCAAGTCTCCGTTGTGAATGGTTACTAGAGGTCACTGCAGACGACTTTTTGTAGGACATTAGATGCCTTTATCCTATCCATGACATCTCTGCCTTTTAGGTTATGCTGATCTGCGCCATGAGTCATGCCATGTCTTTCCCTATGTCACTCGCAGGGGACAGCTCCATCAACAGTGCTGCGAGAACTGGACCAACGTCAATGAGGATGCCCGTGCCAAGATGGCGAGAATGGCAGCAGCCGCAGCGTGGGGATTAGGTAAGACGTCTGGCTTATGTAACGTGGTAATGCTGTGTGTCATGTCTCCTTTCATCATGTGTGGACAGCTGCGTGACTGATGCGGTCCCGTGTAACCGAATAGACTTCCAGGCCTTAATGGGATTACATAACCACCACTTCTATACCCCCATCTGTAAAAATGTATATACACAAGCCAGTATACAAACAATTTCCTAATGACTTGTCTATATCGCAATTATTTCTATCATACGTCTTCTCTGCAAAGTTTGTCGCTAATTAGCAAGTAATGGATTGCGCCCGTCACATTTTCCAAATTTCTTGCGCTTTGAAAGGTGCCTCATTATCCGAAGCTTTCAAGCGACCAGCGCCCCTCCGTTCGCATTTGTCATCCGAAGTGTTTACGAACTCTCCAGTGCTGTGATTATTTTCTAAATTGGCAGCGTGCGGTAGAATTAAATCTGATTAAAGATCTCCAAAGAGAGACTGTTGCTCATGTCAGTCTGTGTTTGGGCCTGCTGCATTCCAGACTCATTCTCCAGTAATTGCTGAATGCTTCCTGAATGCATTTAGCGTTGCAGCCTTTGTGTACTGAGCTGTACTTGTGAAAAGGGCTCATTAACATCTTCCTGGCTGCGTATTTAACCCCCGCAGGGGGTCATTGAAATCTATGTGCCCAGACCAAACCATTAGTCTCGGTTAACTTGACAATAGTTCTGACTAAGGTGCCTTTTTATATATATTTTCTTATACACAGTGGCTACCGACTGCAGCCGCCAACGTACCTCTCTGTGTAAGGCACAGTGACAACTGAGACCAGCGGGTTTGTTTGAAGCCGGGGGAGCTGTCGGGATTGTGTTGTGACTGGTGCTGTGTTTTGTCTTTCAGAGCAGTGGGACAGTATGGAGGAGTACACGTGTCTGATTCCCCGAGATACCCATGACGGGGCTTTTTACAGAGCTGTGCTGGCTCTGCATCAGGATCTCTTCTCTCTTGCCCAGCAGGTATGTCACCCCTGGGCCAGGACCACCGCCTAGTAATGGCTAAGCAAAGGTCTTATTCCCTTTTTATAATGCTCAAATGTCAATCATCCCAGAGCTGACATTTCAGTTGTAGGTTGAGTCCGATGTGACAATTCTAAATATTTTGGGGCCTTCACTGGCTCCACCGTCCCTCTTGTTGCCCTCTCCATAATATAAAATTGATCAATCATTAAAGGAGAACTATGGGGTTAGGGCTTTTCCCCATAGTTCTCAGGGTAACAGGAGGACACAAACTAGCGTCGTCCCGTCACCCTAAGCTCAGTATACCGCGAGCTACAGCGACGCCGGAGCGGATCCTGACATCGAAGTCGAGATCCGCCAAGCTGCGTGAGTGACAGCTGGCTCTGCCTATCTAGAGGCAGGGCCAGCTGTACCCGCCCCCTCCCCCGTCCGTTCGGCCAGTCAGCGCTGGCAGCTCGGAGCGGGGGGGGGGGGATCCAGCCCCTCCCCCTGTCACCGCAGAGAGCCGTGACAGGATCAAGAGGTGAGCGAACGCCGGTATGTGTTCGCTCACCTCCCGATCTACTGAGCCGACCTGCGACAGTCTCATTGTCACAGGTCGGCTAGAACTATGAGGTGAGTGAAAAGCACTCGCCTCATAGTTCTCCTTTTAAGAATTGTGCGAACCTTTAATAATAGGCACAGCAAGTGTGCAGACCCATGACCTTCCCTATAGAGTCCCCAAAAGAGAGAAAATGCTCCTAGATGATTTACACTTGAGCATTTGTCAGAAATAAAGATTTCAGATTCAACAGACTGAACATTTAAAGGAAAATTCCAATTTCCTTCAATACCCACCATGCAAGTTGAAATCTTTCACGTTAAAGGCGTACGTCAGCCATTGGAGAGATTTCACTTCCCAATATAGAGACCCAACAAAACATTTCCCCAGAGGAGACCTTCAGAAATAAAGACCTACAGAGGTTCCAGTGTTTCCCTATTACAGCCAGAACATGTTTTTTTTGTATAATATGTATTGTTTCTGGGTATAACAATAAAGAACATGTTTTTGTTTAGTTCAGGCTTGAAGCATCAGTTTTAATAACCTCTTCCTTATATTTCAGTGTATTGACAAAGCCAGAGACATGCTGGATGCAGAACTGACAGCCATGGCTGGGGAGAGCTACAGCCGGGCCTACGGGGTAAATATTTCACTTATTAGGTTTTTATAACATTTAGGGATGCAACGATACCGGTATTTTGGCACCAAGTACGAGCACCGATATTTTTTTTCCGGTACTCGCCTATACCAATTACCGAGTGCCGGAAGTCCCATTCAGGAAGCCAGGCGGCGTGTAATTACTTGCCACCCGGCTTCCCGATTTAACAAGAAAGCCGTCCCATGCTTCTCATCACTATGTGACGAGAGAGCATGGAGCCGGCTTGCTGGCCAATCATGTCAGCCGGGCGCTGTGTAATGATGCGTCGCCCTGCTCCCTGATTTGGCCGGGAGGCCGGCTCCATGCTCCCTCGTCATGAGATGACGAGGGAGCATGAAGCAGGCTTCCCGGGCCAATCGGAAAGCTGGTCAATACTGGGCACCCGGCTTCCTGATTGGCCATGAAGTCGGCTCCATGCTCTCTCGTCACAAGTGACCAGGGAGCATGGAGCCGGCTTCTGGCAAATCAGGAAACCAGGCAGCGTGTAATGACGTGCTGCCAGGCTTCCTGACACAGGAAGTATCGTGCTAGGCATCGGAGCATTTGGGCGAGTACGAGTACTCGCCCAAATACTCGATATCGATACCGATGCTAGTATCGGTATCGGTGCATCCCTAATAAGATTGTCTGAGATGCCTTTTTTTTATGGGACTGTTTGAGAGACAAACTATTAGTGTTGTCTATAGCCCACCAATCAGATTCTTCCTTTCTTTTGTTTAACATACTCTATAAGAATGAAACAAAGAATCTGGTTGGTTGGCAGTCAGTTGTGTAGAGGAGTAATACCCTCCTTGTCTTTTGTGCAGGCCATGGTCACCTGTCAGATGCTGTCGGAGCTGGAGGAAGTAATCCAGTATAAGTTGGTGCCAGAGCGGAGGGAGATTATTCGTCAGACCTGGTGGGATCGGCTACAGGTGAGCGGTGTGGTTCTACACAAGCAGGTTGTTGGTGGTTTGATGACAAAGAAGATCCAGTGATTAACAGTTATCCCAACACCCTCCAAGCATAGGTTTTTTTTCCTCCAGTTATGTTTTTAGTGCTGCTTCTTCCATAGCTTTCATACCTTTTGATGCTAAATAAATGCCAATAAATATCAGGACTGGACTACAGTCCACACAACTCACAAATATGGGAGCCCCAATCCCTCAAAAAGCATTGGCTTTGTTTTATGTCATACACCAATAAAAGGATTATTGTTCTCCAACCAGCTGGAGTTTCCAAGATGTCGTATGTATCCCCGGTGCTCTTCACCCACCTCCACAGTAGGGTCAGGGCTCTGCGGGCCACTCTGCTTCCTCCACACCAAAGTGGTCATGCCATGTCATTATGGACCTGGCTCTGTGGTTGTGCTGGAACAGAAAAAGGCCTTCACCAAAATGTTACCACAAGGTTGGAAGAGCACAATTATCTAAAATGTCTTTGTATGCTGTAGCATTACCAGATCCCGTCACTGGAAACACCTGAACTCAACCATTTGGAGCAGGGGTAGTCAAACTCCGGCCCTCCAGCTGTGGTGGAACTACAAATCCCATGAGGCATTGCAATATTCTCACGGCCACAGACATGACAACCGGAGAGAGAGATGTATCATGGGATTTGTAGCTTCACCACAGCTGGAGGGCCGGAGTTTGGCTGCCCATAATTTAGAGGGATGACGACATACTTTGGGCCCTCATAGCGTAGGTGCGATGGTCCGATATCTACAAACTGTTGGCTACATGGCATATGCCGGGAGACCTGCTATTCGGGGGAGAGGCGGCTTATTTAACAACAAAGCAATGTCCAGTTTCCTCTACTTGTCTTTACCTTTAGTTTGCTACTTTGACTTACTAGAGGTAGCCAACCTTTTCAAAGCATCGCAGGCATTGACAATGACAGACATTTCCCTGACTTGTATGGAGGTTTCTACAGAGCAGGTTGTCTTCACCTGTTTGCTCCGCGCCCCGTACAACACCAGGTTATTGCATTCAGATTGTGTCAGAGGAAAGAACTTCTTGGGCACCCTACAGCCTGGCAGCGGATGAGCGGAAGGGTTTTTTATGGCAGGATGGAAACCAGTTAGGAAACATATTTTAGAGCCTCACGCTGAAGGTACAGGGCGTGAAGGGAACACGGATCAAGGCTTCTATTAATACCGCTGTTTACAAGTCTCTCCTCGTGCAGGACATTCTTCAGGCCGTCCCAGTCACATTTCTGTTCCGCGGTGTAGCGTCTACCTCGGCCTTTATTAGGTGTGGAGGAGGTTGGGGTGGCCAGGTATTTCTCACTTCCAGTAGCCAGATAGTCGGGACGCGTGCTGGCACACCGGCCGCACAAGCAGACTGGGCACAAGGTGACGCTCGTCCTCTGTGCAGACGGTTTGTGCTGGAGGGGAAGAACGTCGGATGGGCCAGCGGCTGTCTTCCTGGCCAAGTGTCCTGCAAACATTGACATCTGGGAAATGCACAAACCCGAGCTCAGCCAGGGGAAACGCAGGCAGGTGCCAGTGCCTTCCGGCCGTGTCTGGCTGGAAGGCGCGTTCTTACTATTATCACGCATCTGAAGAGCTGTACAGAATCAGCGTCATTTGCACCTATTGAAGTCACTTTAGCGCCAACTTGATTTAATCTCTCCTTCGTATATGTCTATTCTAGGTATTAAAGTGGGGAACTACTTCAAAATACCCTGATGCTGTCTTTTATTTATTATTATTTTCAATTCTAGATTGAGTTTTCCCAAAAGCAACAATTAAAAAGCCACCATTCTGTAATAGCAAAGTAATAGAACTCATCAGTCCGCTCAGCAGTGACTCTGACCTGCAGCCTCTTGCAGAGCTGCCCTGGCCAAGTTGTCAGAATCTGACATTTTCCGGTGTGACGGATGCTTGCAGTCCCCTCTGCAGCCCGATCTTCCATCCAAGAGAAGGGTGGCTCCTGATTATAACAGGGGGCTCTGATGTAAATGGGGGACTTTGACGGAAAGACCCTCATTGGAACCCTCCTGGTGATTCACCCACTGCGTCACCACTGTGGCTCTGTAGAGACTGGCAGGTGGAACCAGAGCGCACTAGGTGTCCGTAAAGCTTCTACAGAGATTCTTTTGTACTTTTTTTTAATTTGCACAAAATGGTCCAAATAAGTAAACAGATGGCAAGTGCGGAGGCCATTTAAAAGCGAGACTCCGTCTACACAAAGCTGAAACGGCTACTGTTTGTGAAGCGTTCAACATACTCTTGTGAGCGTCTGTAACCTTGCTAAACTACGCGGCTGCATTGATTGCATAGCTTATGGAAGGGGACAACACTTTTTCGAGCCTGCAGTTTGGCAGACTTCCCCTATATCTAGTTTGGCCTGTCAGTGAATCTTACTGCAGTGGTGTGATGACCACCATGAGGACTCTTCCACCCGTATGTGAACCTAAGTGGCTCCCTTTGCTTACAGGGCAGGGAAGGTGATGGCTATATATGATGGGATGTAAAACTATCACAGATCTCCAGCCTCTACTTTTTAAATTTTTCAAATTACATTTTATTAAATATTTTTATTTTTTTACTTTTAGGGGCTTTGGGGAAATGTTGGGGGTCTAAACAGACCCCTGATATTTCCCTTTTAAAATAGAAAAAGAGATTGAGGACACAGAGTCCTGAACAGGAAACCTTTATGAGTGTTCCTGTTCATTGATAACATAGTATGTTTACTATAACCACAATTTATGAATGGACAGGAGGGGATGTAGATCACTCCCATTCATTCATAATTGAGGATACAGTAACCATACCATGTCCTCAATTATCTACAAACACTCAGCGATCACTGATCGCTGAGTGTTTGCTCTCGCTCTCCTCTCTGACACGCTGTGACAGGAGGCTGAGCGAGCAGTGCACGGAGGAGAGCCCAGCCTCTTGTGACAGTGTGGGCTGTCTCCGCCCCCACACCGCTTTGCCGGACTGATAGGCGGCTGAGCGGTGTGGGAGGAGGGACACTGGCCGCTCACGGCCGTCTCCTCCCGCAGCGCTCCGCCAGCTGTCACTTTCTCTCCTCCCTGCTGGGACACAGAGCAGCGCCCAGCGAGGAGGAAAGAAATCACGGTTGCGCCGACAAAATGGCACTTTCAGCATTTAGCCAAAAGTGCCATTTTCGGCCGCGCGCCCCCCTTAAAGGAGAACTATGAGGGGGGTGCTTTTCACTCACCTCATAGTTCTAGCCGACCTGTGACAATGAGACTGTCACAGGTCGGCTCAGTAGATCGGGAGGTGAGCGAACACATACCGGGTTCGCTCACCTCTCGATCCTGTCACGGCTCTCTGCCGTGACAGGGGAGGGGCTGGATTCCCCCCCTCCCCGATCCGCCA